CCCCCCCCACTAAGATTTGGACGGAGCCCGATGCTGAGTCTGGGGTAGGTGGGGTGATTTGTTTTTCAGACTCTCAGCAGAAACTCACATGCAATCCCTAATTCAAGGCCCCGTGTCACTCTTTAGCTGTCCCTCACCCATCACCCGTGCCCCTTGGGAAAATGTGAAGTTCACTGGGCCAGCTTATTTGTAAAACGGGAATCATAATTTTTACCTCGCAGGGTCCTAAAGCATTAAGTGAAATAACGTATACAGCACAGAGCACAAGGGGCCCAGCAAACATCTCCCCCATCCCATCCCCGGCTTAGAGGTCTGGGCAAGGACGGAGAAAAATAAACATTCCCCAAGCGCCCGCTGTCACCTGCCCCGCAGGACGTGCGTTCGCCCCCGGGAACGCGTGGGCTCCTTCTCGGGGGCACCCGCTCTGCCTGTGGTCACGGGGCCTCACCGTGGCGCGAGCTCCTCCCCGCGCTGCCTTCCGAGGGTAGGTGCCCCTCAGTGCACATGGCCTGGCAGGGGGGGCGCGCCTGCCTTTGTTTCAAGTGCTCGTTATGCTTAAGGCTAAGTTTGAGGTTTGTGCCAGAAACCGCACTGGGCACAGAAACTGGGAGGGTGGCAGGACCCCCCGGAGCTCACGGTGCCTGCAGAGAGGGCCGCAGGGGCTGGGGCCGCGCCAGGACCGTCCGTCCAGGGGACAGCGGTCGAGGCTCCGATCTGAATTGGACGCGAGGGAGGAGCCGGCCAGGGAGGAGCCGGCCAGGGAGGGACCGACATCCAGGCGGGCGCGAGGCCTCCTTAGAGTGACCCCTGGAGCAGCGGGCGCGGCTGGGAACGAGGCTGAGCTGCAGCGCCGCCCAGGCGTCCACCCCGAGCGGGGCCGAGCGCGCGCAGTTACTATCTGGCGACCAGAACAGCCGGAGCCGGCCAGGCCTGCGCGGAGGTGGCCGGGAAGCCTGCCGGGCCCCGGGCTGTGGCCGTAGCTACCAGTCCGCCCGGCGCCCAGCATCCTCTGGCTGCTTCCTGCCTCCACTTTCTTCCGCGCATCTCCTCCGCCCAGGTTTGGGCGCCGCTCCTGCCTTTCATGGAGCCTCTCCGCGCCCCCTCGGTCGCCAACCCCCCGCGGCCGCCAC